TCAGTGGCTCCGCCCCGAGGCCGCTGCATCAGTGGCTCCGCCCCGGTCAGGTTGATGCTGTTGCGCTGGAAAGCGGAGCTTGTGCACAATAGTGATGGCAGAAATATCGCTTTATCTATCCAGCGTCAGTATAACTGTGGCACATGATATGGATCCTGACAAGGTAAAATTGATGTTTGACCAATTTAAATCAGGTTACGTGGCTGAATGACTCGCATAAATATTTCCATTTATTTTAAAATCCAATAAAATATAATTCAAGTTTGTTCCGTTTTATTGTACAGTTATCATTTTGTATTTAAGCATTCACATTGTGCCAGGCATTCAATTAAAAATAGTCATCTCTGGCATCATAACGCTATAAAAAATATTAAAACACCTTAGTTTTGAAGATACTACATGTGTGTTGCATAGTTACATAGTAACGTAAGCCAGTCAGATATTGTAGGTCTGTCCCACTAAAAGTTACTATATTACTACAGAAGAAAAAAAGATAACATGGTATTAGACATGAACTAATAAAGAATCAAAAATGTCAGAAAATTTTAAAGCAATGCAGATTTATTTATTTAGGCAATTTTTTTAGTTTTTTTAAGCAAACCCATATATACATTTATTATGGTTTTAGAACAGACGCAATAGCTTTACTGTGTTTTTTTTTTTGGTAACTACTGTTGTTCATTTCTTTTTGTAAGTGTTTTCTTCCCTCATTCCAGTTTAAAAGCCCAGCATATTGTGCATGACGGTTATTTCTAATATATCTGGTGTGTGCCTGTGGACAGAGCTCTGGAAAAGAGAAGGAATATGAGTGTGTGGAGCTTGGTGATCTAGACAGAAAAGAGAAAACCCCACGCCGCATTATTCATTTCTCCAGCGGGGAGACCATGGAAGAATACAGCACAGATGAGGAGGAGGAAGAGAAAACACAGAATGCAAAGAAAGAGCTTCTGTCCTCCATAGACACTGTATGTGTGTTTGAACAAATTCTCTGAGAGAAGTTCACCCATTCTGTCATCATTTACTCACCCTCATATCATTCCAAACCTGTAACGTAGATTTTTTTTTTCTATACAATGAAAAAAATCAGAATAAAACTTTATTTTTGTATCTTTATATTTAAGTCCAAGCTGACCTGGGGCCCGTATGTCTGGTTTCAGATGTGGAGAGCAGCTTCATCCACTATATCTGGTAAGTCTGAGACAAAACTGATGTGACAGCCTGAACTTTGGTATTTTCCAGATTAAAAATGTATTTGCTGAAGTATTTTGTTTGCACTATCTATCATT